AAAAGAGTTATTTACTTTCCTGTCTCTCCAAGACAAATGGAGTCCTACTCCCTCCTTATGGCTCGTGTACTCATGTTATGATCCAACCTGGGAAAGAGGTGTCTAATCAGGAACTCTGGGGCTTCTCAGGGGAGGAGGAAACTCCAGGGCAGAAGCTGGAGGGCCACAAGGGATACACAGCATACTTGGGCTGTCCACAGGCTCCCTCTCTGCTAGGTCAAGAGACTGAGGAAGGCACCTGACACTTTATTTGGCTGTGGGCTGCTGACAAGTCACACACCATCACCCCTACACCATCATGTCTCAATGATCCCACTTCATTTATTACCAAAATATCACAGAATTCCAGTCATTGGTAACATACAGCTTTTTAACACAAACCTGATAACTGTGGAAGGAACTGAGTATTCGGACAACTGACTTGTTTAGAATCATCAGTCAACGCCCCATACTTCCAAATACGCTTTTGAAGAGCTTTGGAAACTGAATTAAAATGTCTACACAGCTATGAACAATTGTTTAATAAAACGTTTTTTCATGTTTCCATTACATGTAAATATATCAATTTGGCATCTCTATAAAAACTCTGAAAATGGTGCAAAAGTTTCATTCTCTTTGAGAAAGCCATTGACAAAAGTATTCACACGTCACTAAAAGTTTGAAAAATGGTCTTCTTTCAAAGCTTCATTTATCTGAAATCTTCTGGATTATCAAAATCTACGTCTGCTTTTTCCTCCTAAAACACTGAAGAACATTTATTCACAAGGATTTGAAGGAAAAATAATAATAAAGGCAATGGGGAGATGGGAAATGGATGAGGGCTTTTGTCCCCCGCTGTCTCTCTTTGAAAATCACTTTGAAAAGGCTAATTACATAAGCATCCTCCAAAGAACACAATGGGATTCACTTTATTGTTGACTTTTGGACAGCAGTGTCAGACTTTATTGAAAACAAACCCACGTAAAAACAAAGTTAAAATGAAAAAAAAAAAAAAGGTTCCCGAAAAATAAATTATTTCATATAAAACAAATTGGTAACTGAGAACACACTAATATACAAAAATGTCTACCCATCTAGTGTACAACATGGGAATCAGATGGTAGAAGCTTCCCCCCAAGCAAGCCAGTGTGAAGGAAAAACGGCATTTGGGAAGAGTGGGGGGCCCCCACCAACCGACAAGCCTTCTCTTCAGGGGGAGGGACCAAACACGTAGTATTCTCAAAGTCTCCATTGGCCTAATGTAGATACTTGGCAGTTGGTGACTTACAAGAAATAAGTATTTTTTTATGACCAAGAGAGAGAGAGAAAAAAAAACATATCTGTGAAGGGTTGTGGGAAAACATAATACAATCATTATTAAAAGTCCAAGTTGTGTGAATCCCTGTCTAGGATTAAGAGCCATGCTCTACTGCTCACCAAAGACTGTACCCCTCAATAATAAGCATTTGTGACTTTGGGGTGGTCTAGGGAAGTTTGGAGACAGAATTTCCAACCCCTCACATATGACAAACCCCAGGTATCCTTCCTCAGGAGCAGGTCCCATCAGGCGAGGCAGATCCTGGGAAGATGGGAAGGAACAGGGAGAGGTGTTGCGAGGAAGAGTCTGAGGCCCCTGTCAGCTTATTCTTAGTTCTTTTCTGACCCAAGGGATCCCACCTGCCAGCTGGGGGACTCCAATCTTGCCTCCTTACAGCCAGGAGGTTCAGTCCCCGGCTGAGTGGAGGGTTCCTGAACTACTGCCAAGAGCAGACTCTCAGAAGGTTAAGGCAGCTGCCCTTGGCAAGGAGAACTCAACTGCCAGGGGGCAAAACCCACCCAGTACAGTGGCATTGGGTTCCTGGGAAGGCTAGTTCTCAGATAGTAAAGCAAAATGGTGGCTGAGGAGGGCATCAAAGTACAGGGAGGAGGGGATACAGTCACAGTACTGCAATGAGGCACAGCCAGCATTTGTTGGCACATTACCTGGAAAAACTTCAATAGGGGCAGAGAGGCTCGCAGAGAAAAAATGGGTAACTCAACTAGAATTAGGCTGGAGAATGTGGAGGTGGTTCAACATGGAACCACCAGCAGGGGAAGCCACACAGGTCAAGAGAACTCAAAGCCTCTTTGGTATTTGCAGAACCAAATTTCTAATGAATGAGCATTATCTACTCTGGATTCTCTTTTGTTTCCTTCATCAAATTCCCAAACAAAAGGAATGCACTTATCTTGCCAATAAAAACAGAATGAAATTATGGGGGAAATTTTTTAAGGAATAGTTTCTCTTGGTTTGTAACCCCCTCCCCCTGCCCGTGCTGAGATGGAACCCAGGGCCTCTCTCATGCTTGGCAAGTACTTTAGCCACTGAGCTACATACACCCCAGGCCTTGGGTTCTGGGATGGTCCCCTTTCAAGCAGGCCTCTGTAAGTCATCATGAACCCTTAATGGGATGAAAATCACTTTCTAGAATGCCATTTTTCAAAGCTGAACCCTTCTAGACACTGGCAAATGAAAGTCCCCCTCCCCCAGCTCCCCAGAAATACACTGGGATTTTTTTTTTTTTTTTTTTTTCCTAGAAGGCTGTTCAGACAGCAGAAAGCACATGAAATGAGAATTTCTTAACAGATAAACCTGAGGTAGCCTCCAGAGACCGGTAAGACCCACCCCTGCCCTGCCCCCCCACTCCCACACTTCCCATCAGAAAGATTACTATGGAGCAAGGTGGGGATAATAGCCGAGATGCTGGCTGTGAGCACCTGGTGCTTTTATAACAGAGTCCCCCTCTGGGCACAGGACACTAGCTAAGTCTGCAGGAGAGAGGGGAAATCAGGATCAGAAATCCCACCTTTTACTCAGAAGAATGCTGGCTTGAGGACCCAGAAATGCCTACTTTCCCAGAACATTCTGGTCCCACAGGAAGAATCTGCAGCAACAGGGCAGGGCATGTCCTCTGTCCCCCTTTCAGTCCGATCCGGGCAAATGGGCCTTTAGTTGTGGGTTTCAAGAAGAGGCGCCGTGGGCTGGCTCAGTGAAGACTTGAGACTTTTGGGGAGAAGTGAGGTCCTGAGCAGCACTTTGGCTCCCTTTGGGCAACACAAAGCCCCAGGTACACGAGGCAACCTCTTCAATGTGTGGCAAACACTACAAAAAGCCCCTCCAGAAAGGCCAGGGAAAAGGGGACAGGAGAGGGGATAGGCAGCCTCAAATTGTCCAAGGAAGGGCTTGTTGACACACTGACCTGCTTTGGAGATGGCTGTGCTTGTTGCTCAGTTTTCCACTTAAACAAAATAAATAGCTAAATAAATAAATAAATAAATATATAAATAAGTAGATAAATAATGCAGTCATACCATGATATCCAGGAACTAAAAACTAGCCTGTCATTACACATTTCAGTCTCATGTCAGAGTTAAGAGTTGTCAGTAGCTGATTCTCACATCCTGGTTTTTCATCACCTCACTACACTATTTATAAAATCGGATCACCGTTCTGAAGGGTTGCAGGTCCTGGCCTCGTCTCCTCTGAGGGCCTTCCCTCTGACCCTTCCTACCGGCTCCCGAGTTACGAACCACTCATCCACAGCTGGCCTTCTACACCATGGATCCAGAAATGCTTTAGAAACTTTGAGGCAAGTGTTTACTTAAGGTCTTACAGACTCCTCCCTGAACGCTGGGCTGTCTGTGCCTTCCCTAGCCAAAAAGAAAGAAAAGGTAAAACAAAAAACAAAACAAAACTCGAGCAAAACAAAATCAAATTTAATGGTCTTAATGCAAAAGTAAAAACAAACAAAAAACACAAAAAAGCAAAAGAAAATTAACAGAACAACCCAAACGTCAAGGCAGTTATGAAGAGAACTTTGAGGGTTAATCTTTTAAACTACAAATCAAAGGTTTGTGTTAATAGATAACTGGCAAGAAGTACTTTTCTGCTGAGTGTCCATATGAGAGCAGAACTCCACAACGAAAATCTGACTACGATAGGAAAAAGTCTAGCACTGACGAGGAGGGATGCGAGAAATACAATGCTCAAATGTTTATGTGTCATTGAAAAATAGAGCTATCGTTAGGCATTCAAGCTAGGTAAATGCTCTTGGAAACTCGCAAGGTCATTGTGAACAACAGTATCCAATGTATGGGGCACTGTGCATGCAATGTGTGGACAGACACTCGGGATGTCAGAGGAGTGACACATCTTCAGGCGTGCCTGGAGCTCAGGTCTGACTCTGGAATATACTGGAGCTGCCCTGAAACTCTTTGGTCCGTTCCCATTGGTGCCTGGGTTTAGAAAGCACCTCCGTGTCCTCTGGAGGGCCTGACCCGGCCTGGCGTGGGGACTCCTCCCCCTGGTGGTGGCCCATGGAAATGAGCCCCACCGCCACTCCCATGACCACAGAGTGGGCAAAAGGTGGCAGTGGGACCCGCTTGGGGAAAGCAAATTTCCTGACAACCAAAGCAGAAATTGCTTAAAATGGTGAAGCGGTTGAGAAAACGCACACTCAGCACCTGTCTAACATTTTAGGTTAAAAACTAAAACTAAAAGTTTCTTGTTTTAAATCCAGTTTGTGGAGACATCAAATGAAATGGATGTTAGACAGTCTTTCTTAGAAGTTAAAGCATGCTTCAGTTCCACCACCATCCAGAGGGACTGGTTAGTCAATGCAGTCTACTTAGGTTTTGGATTAATATATATCTTAAAGGAAATAACTTAAGAAACTTAAAATTGGTCTAACATTTGTGGGATTTCAAACATTTGAACATGTCGGTTGCATCCCAGAGTATAAAAACCTTTTGCACTTCTCATTTAGACTAAGACAAACACGTGTGAAAATTGGCGCAAAATGAGTTGTACACTAACAAAAAAGTTTCAACTTCTTCACTCTTAATTATCTATTCCGTACAAAAAAAAAAAAAAAAAAAAAAAAAAAGAAGGGGCGGGTTATTTGGGGAACTTTTTGGTTTTAAAGAAAACTTGTAAGTTTTTTCCCCCAGGGGCGTAGCCCTAGAGACTTCCTATGAAAAAAAAAAAAAGCATGAGCGAGTTATTTGTGGGACTTGTTGGTTTTGAAGGAAACCTGTAAGATTTTGTCCCCCAGGCGGTAGCCATTCAGACTTGCTATGGCCATTGCAGCTTCTTCATAGTTTGTCATGGTCACAAAACCAAACCCTTTGCACTTGTTGGTGTTGAAATCTCGAATCACTTTCACATTGGTGACTGCGCCAAAGGGGCCAAACATCTGCCAGAGGATCCCCTCATCGGCGTCTTGCCCAAGGTTGTAGATGAAGATGCACCAGCCCGAGGAAGCATTGCCGGGGACATTGACACCAGAAATCCCACTCATGTGATCTACACCCATAGGGGAGAACCTAGCAAACAGAGAGCACACGTTCAGGTCAAGATCACTCAGGTGAGCAGCTGCACAGCAAGGGTAGTGGGTAGCAGGGACAGGGGGTGGCTCTGGTACAGCGACATGAGGACACTGTGCCTTACTGTTCTACACAGCCTGTTTTCTCTAAGCTAGAGTCACTCAAGGCTAGGGCAATCACATGGTTATACCAAAATGACTTTTTTTTTTAATTTTTAAAAAGCACAGATTAACTGCATAAAATAGTATTCATGGTGACATTTTCATGCACATAATGTACTGATCATATTCACCATAATTACCCTCTTGTCCCACCTTTCCCCACACCCTCTCTACTTGCCAAATAATTCCTTCTACTTTTATGTACTCAAAAAGTAAAAGAAAAGTGATTCTGCATGAGAGAAGATATATACTATCTTTTCTGACTCAAAGATGACTTGAAAAAAACCCAACGTGGCAGCGGGCATGGTAGTTCCCTGCTCTGTAGGGAACTGACTCTAAGGTGTCCAGCTGGTGCCACCTGGCAGTACTGCCTCTACTTCTGTATGTGAGTGTGCATGGGGTCTGTAATTGTTTCAGTGGCTTCCCAAATTTTTATTGTTGGTGGTGCTGAGGATGGAACTGAGGGCCTAGCACCAAGCAACAAACATCCATCTGGCATTCCCCATTTGAAATGCAGGGAGCTTTGGCCACATCCTCCCCTGCAGGTGAAAGCACTCTGCAGGGCTTGCCATTGTCAGTTTCCCTGGGGGAAACTCTTTGTGGATGAGAGAGAGAGAGAGCGAGAGAGAGAGAGAGAGAGAACACATAAAATAAAAATAATAAAATATTAAAAAAAATAAATATTGGAACCTTTAAACATATACATATGCAGCACACAGGTGGGGAGAGGGAAAGGAGGAGAGAGAGAGAGAGAGAGAGAGAGAGAGAGAGAGAGAGAGAGAGAGAGAGTGTGCAGGGAATGGAAAGAGTACTTTCCCCACATTTAGACCCTCATCATGATACCCCTCCCCAAGAGGTCACAGCCCAGTGTTCTTTGGTTGTACTCAACCCCACACAGGGCTACCATAGGGCACATTAAGAATTCCTTCCCGAGCTCTGGGTTGGCTCAAACCACCCTACAAGGGCCAAGGCCAAGCCAATGAGGTCTGTGAACTCAGGAGACTGGCACATGACTGGAGGGACACCAGCAGCTTGACCAATATAGGGAATGTTTTCTACTGTGACATCCATTTACCCATTCACCTCTCTTCCTCTGCACCGACCCTTTATTTTTCAGGCAACAGGGGCCTTACTCTGTAGCCCAGGCTGGCCTAAAACCCATGATCCTCCTGCCTTAGCCTAAGGGCTAGAATAAGAAGCATGTGCCATCATGGCTGGCCACAGTGAACGGTTCTTTACCTAAGATATCAACTTTGAAACATGGATATAGTACTAAAAATTAAGATGATAAAGCCGTTAGTGAAGCTTTGCTGCCCTCTAGGTGTTCTGTGATAGTGTTAGGGCATATTTAAGAACATTTGAGGGAGTTACAGACAGCATGAGTGGAGCCACAGAGTACAACAGAAAAAGCATCACCTGCTCCAAAAGGATACTGGGCTTAGGGCTGTGGGACCCCAAGGCTACTTTATTTTTAATGTGGTGAGGAGGACCCAAGATACAGTATTGGTCATATTTTTTAAAAATTATTTTAATTTTATGTGTATGAGTACCTGCATCCATGTGAGTGCACCTCTGTCATACAATGCCTCAGAGGTCAGAAGAGGGCATTAGAACTGGAGTTAAAGGTGGTTCTTAGCTTCCATGTGGATGCTGGGAATCGAACCTGGGTCTTCTGCAAGAGCAGTCAGTGCTTTTAACTGCCAAGCCATCTCTCCAGTCCCTGGTCATGGTCTTTTTTTTAAAAAAAAAAATTTATGGTGTATGAGTGTATTGCCTGCATGTATATGAGTGCACCCGTGTCGTGCAATGCTGGGCGTCGGATTCCTGTGGAACTAGAGTTAAGGATGGCTCATAGCCACTATGTGGGTGCTGAGAATTTCAAGAGCAGTCAGTGCTCTTAACCACTGAGCTCTCTCTCCAGCCCCAGGTCATGGTTTTTAAAGCTGCAAAAACCAACTTTAACAGCCAGCAGTAGGATGTAAGGTTGGTTAAAAGAGTCAGATGGGGGGCTGGAGAGATGGCTCAGCAGTTAAGAGCACTGACTGCTCTTGCAGAGGACCCAGGTTTGATTCCCAGCAGCCACATGTCAGCTACAAACTGTCCTTAACTCCAGTTCCAGGGGAATCAAAGCTCTCTTCTGACCTTCGTGGCATTCATGACACGCTTGCGCTCACATACATGCAGGCAATACACTCATACATATAAAATGAAAATAATAAAAAGATGGTCCTCTGTGGTTGAGAGGCAGTCCAGGACAGGAAGATTATACAGTACTGTTCACATGGGTGGAGAGATGGTGCTTAGGGGGTCTGTGAGACACTAGGCTGAGCTGCTTTTCAATGAGAATCAGATAGAGGCGCTGACTCTGTGAACTCAATCACTCAGGTTTTCACACAGCCTTTGGCAGTCGGCTTATTCTATCTACAGGCTCTGCATCTGAATTTAATTTTTTAGACAGGGTCTAACATAGCCCTGGCTGGCCTCTGATTCTCTATGTAGTCAAGGACGACCTTGAACTCCCGATCTTCCTGCCTCTATCTTCTAAGTGCTGGGATGACAGGTGTATAACCACCACACCTAGTTTATGTAGTGCTGGGAATGAACACAGGGTTTTGTGCACACTGGGCAAGCATTCTACCAGCTGAGCCATATCCTCAGCCCTTGCACCTATAATTCAACTGACTTTGGATCAAGGAAGGTATCTGCAAAAACAAAACAAAACAATCCTCCAAAACCTTCCATGTTTCCCAACTGTATTTAGACTATTCCCTAAATAATACAGTGTAACATGTTTTCATGGCATTTATAGGGTGATGGGTGTTAAGTCATCTGGAGACATGCTGAAGCTTACAGGGAGGATGTGGAGGGTATGAATGCTAATGCCATACTATTTTACATACTGGACCTAAGCATCAGAGAATCTGAGATTTGAGACAGGAGTATGAGGTGTCCTAGAACCAACACTCCATGGGCAGCAAGGGAGAACTGTATAGTGAAAATACCTGGGGTACTATTTTATTGTCTTAAAAACAAAACCCTGAAAGCAAAGAGTCACTATATAGCCTGGAAAGCCCCAGCTTCTCCAGTGCTGGCATTATAGACATCTATCTCCAGCACAGCATGCCTCTCTCATTCATACGAACTGTTCTTGTTGGCTGGACCTCCTGAAGCTGAGAGCTGATTTCACTGACTAACTACAAATATTAACACTCCTCCCTCTACCACCCCAACTCATTCTCAGAAAAGGAAAGAATCCTGCCCTAACTCAAGGGGTTTTTCTGAAGGTGACAGGACTTGACTGGCAACTCTGTTCTTTTGGGTCTCTCTTCCTCTTCTTATTTCTGCCACCTTCTGGAATTCCCTACCCACTCTTTACTACCTTCTCTTGCTGCTATTTCCCTCTGGCCACTATCTCATTATTCTACTGGTTTCCTCTAGCAACCCCCTAGTCTCTTACTGAGTAGCTGCGCACATGCTACAGTCTGCCCACCCACACAGGCGTGCTCTTCTATCTTCAAACTCTTGAAGTTGCCTGATTCTATCCACATGCCTCCTGAGCCTCTGACTTGCAACAGGAGGCCAAAGGCCAGCTTCAAAACCAGAGCTGGCCTGAGAATTCTTCATGGCTACACTGCAAAAATAACCTCTTTCAAGAAAGCCTGTATTGGAAGGAACAGCCACACTGCCTAAAACAAAGATGAGAAATCTAAAAAAAATCCAAGAAAACATCTTTGTCCACTCAAGGCAAGCTCTTGCCACTTCTTGGTGTTCTGATAAAAACAAAAGAAAACAGCACCTACGTTGGGATTTCTGTTGCTCCTAAGGCAGTAATACCCCTGGATCCTGGCTTCTAAGTTGGTGGTTCTAATTGTCCCTGTTTTACTTGAGCTTGACAACTGAGACCATTTTTAGTACAGAGTCTACGGAATGTAGGAAAGCCGCTCCTCTTTGGGTCAGAGCCTTTAAAGCAGCAGGCGTGTAACACTCAGCTCTAAAAATGACTAAGGAGCTGGGGATATGGCTTGGTAGAGTTCTTGCCCAGAAATACATGATGCCCTGGGTTGGTTCCATCCCCAGTACAGCATAAACTGAATATGGCAGTGAACCAAGCCTGGAATTTAGCATTTGGGAGGTGAAGGCAGGAGGATCAGAAGTTTAAGGTCATCCTCATCCCTCATCTACAAAGGAGACTCTATCCCAAAGGAAAAGAAAAAAGAAAAACAAAAGACAAGGAAGTTGTGTAAACTTGCCTTAGGATCACTAATGTCTGAAACCTGTTTATAAATAGATCTTACCTAAGCACAAAATTAATTGGCATCTTATCCACACAAATGCAAAGATTTTATTTATTTATTTATTTTTTTTTGAGGTGGTACTAAGGATTGAACCTAGGGCTATATGCTTCCCACTGAGTTATATATCCCCAGACCACAAAAGATCTTTTAAGCTCAGGGCTCTATTCCCAAATTATTGGTCAGCAGCTAGTGGGAGCTGGTGTTACCTTTTCAACTCTGATGAAAGACAACGCCCCACTGGGTGTGTGGTTGGGCCCCTGCAGTCATGGGTTCTGTATCTGTGGATGTGACCCACAACAGGTTGAATGGATCTGGAGAAAAAAGCACCTGTACTGTCTGTGTACAGACTGTCCCTTGTCATCATTCCCTAGACAACAGAGCAACCATTTACACAGAACTAGACTGAATTAGATATTAGGAGTCATCCAGAGGTGACTTAACAGTCTACAAGAGATGGTATGTGTAGGTCATGTGAAAACAGTCTATATTGTGTTATAGAAAAAAGCTGAGCAACATTCTATGTGGTTTCTGTGAGGGTCCTTGAGCCCACCCCTCACAGATACTGAGGGACTACTTCAATATAATCTTTTTTTTCTTTTAGAAAGGATTTTGCTTTGTAGCCCAGGTTAGGCTTCAACTCTTGATCCTCCTGTCTCTGCTTCCCCAGGGCTAGAATTATAGGCATGAGCTATCCTGCCCAATTTCACAGACACATTTCTGGTGGAGATTAGGATAAAGCCGGAAGCTAGTTTTCTAGGACCAGCCTGTTGCATCCCCTATGTTTTCTCATCTTTGCAGTCTCCCTCCTGACACACAGGGCCATGTGCAGTTTGAAGGAATGTGGCAGGCCAAAAATAGCCCACATGACACCAACCTTTGGACCCACCTGAATCTCTGTGCCTGGTGGTGCACTGGGCCTCCGAACCGCCTTGCTGGCGAGTGGTACAGCTGCGAGAGGAGCGCCATGTTTTTGTTCTGGTTGGGATTGGCTGCAAACTTCACTGTGATGGGCTCTGAAGAACCTGGGGGTTTATGACCATTGAAACTGGTAATTGCCTCTTCTGCTTCCGACCGTTTGTCAAACCGGATAAACGCAACCCCTCTGGACAAACCTTTTTAACAAACCAACAAAAATGGAGTTAGGGGAAAACATCAGGACAGTAAAACAAAATAGAAAATGAAACTGAAAAGCAAAAGTCAAGTCAGTTGGCTGTGTTCAAACTGAGCACCTGGTTAATGAAATAAACTAAAATCAAACCTAAACATGAAAATGAATGGATTAAAGAAAACAACGACTAACGAAAATTAAGTTTTTCAACTCTTGAGCTGCAACAAGGACTCCACAGCCAAAGACATCAAATACATATCTTGAACCTATCTTTTTAGATTTTTAAAGATTTTCAAAAATTTTTATTTGTTGGGTATGAGTGTTTTGCCTGCATGTATGTAAATATACTATATGCATGCAATGCCCATGGAGGCCAGAAGAGGCTGTTGGAGCCTCTGGAACTGGAGTTATGGATGGGTGTTAGCTGCCGTGTGGGTGCGGGGAACTGAATCCCTGTCCTCTGCAAGAGCAGCCAGTGCTCTGAACTACTGAGCCATCTCTCCAGTCCCTGAACCTATCTTTTTAAAAAAAAGCAACAGCAGGCAAGATCATGTCCTCTGCTACTACTTGGTTGCTGAGTACCCAGCACCTCATGGGTGATGGAACATACATGGAGCCCAGGGCAGGGCTGATTCAGAATACCTCCCGGGGCTCTGGACCTTTATTTCTCCTGTGGCCTCTGTAAGGAGTGATGGTGGGGTACAGAGTAGTGGGATGGGTCTCTATGCTAGGCCTTCCTGGCTTGCCTAAAGCGTATTAGTAGTTGGTCAGTGTTTATGACATCCTACACCTCTCAATTACCCCAGAAGAATGTGGTATCCTAGCGCTAGCTCTTCTCCCACCTCTTTCCTGCCCTATCTCTTCAGTTATCAAAACTCCCCTGTGAGGTCTTGAAACCTCCTATGTCCACAATTGATTTCAGAAACAATGAGTCCACTCATTCCCTTCACAAAAAAACCACTCAGGCACAGATAACAGAAAAGAACCATGCACAGACATTCTAAGAGTGTCAGAAGCCCATGCTGGGGACCCCTCTGCACCAGGTCAGGTTCCTGCATGAGAGGAGCCAAGGCCTCACTGGCATAGCCTATCTGAAGGCACACCCTGTTTTCCCACTGGGTTCCATCACCAGCCAGCACTGCAACCAACAAAAACCACATACCCATCTACATATTTAAAACTCGCCAGACTAGAGGCGCCCAATGGCTTAGTAAAGCCAGACCTAGCAACACACCATGTGCTAGGAAGAGTCTAGCACCTGAGCTCATGTATAAATCTCAAGTCTGAAGGATCACCTGAAGATCTACCCTTAGCAGATGTTGTTTGTGCTTACTCTTAGGTATGACTGGCAGCTTGGTTGGCCTTGGAAAGCTATACACCACCGATCTAACTTTAGGCCAGTATGACTCAGAGCTGTGGCTGGCTGGCTCTCACACACAGGGTTACCTTCAGGGAGACTGTCTATTTCTGAGACCTGTGAGCAAGAAGAGTTTGGAAAGTCTGGGGTCCAAGCGAAGTTCCTTTGATTTTTTGCAATGGCTTTTAAATGAAAACTACCTGACAGAAAAAGAAAACCTGGGAGAGAAAATGGGAATGATGTCTCATGTAGGGGGGCAGAAATTCATTATCTGATGAATTCTTACTTCTAAAGATGGTTTTGTGTTTTTGGTTTTATTTCTCAGGACTAACAGCAGAGACCAAGAAATGGCACAATTTCTAGATAAGTGAACTAATCAAATTTATAAACACAGGTAAGAAAGTTCTATTTGCTACAGATGTGAAGCCACACATCTTTTTTTTTTTGTCTTTTTGAGACAGGGTCTCCCTATAGCCCCAGCTGTCCTAGAACTCACTATATAGACCAGGCTGGCCTCGAAGTCACAAAGATCCGCCTGCCTCTGCCTCCCAAGTGATGGGACTAAAGGTGTGGAGATCACCATGCCCGGCGATTGATTTTTTTTTTTTTTCCTGAGACAGGGTTTCATTATGTAACCCTGGTTTAGCCCAGAACTCAAGAGTCCGCCTGCCTCTGCTTCCCTTGAATGCTAGGATTAAGGCCTGCAACGTCACACTGGACTTTTAAAAAAAGTTTAATATTTACCTTGGGTGTGTGTTATACCAAGTGCATGTCTAGGTCAGAGGGCAACTTGCAGTTCTTTCTGTCTACCATGTGGGTTCTAGGGATCAAACTCAGATCGTCAGGCTTGGTGGCAAGCACCTTTACCCACTGAACCATCTTGCCAGCCCCAAATGCTACTCTGTTCTACCATGAGCCAAGGCACCTGGGATCCCAGTAATGGTAGACAGACACTCTACCATTGTCCCAGGTCCCTCACCCTTGGTTTAAGTTTAAGGGCAGTGTCATCTGAAGAAAAACTCAATTCAAGTCCCCCTCCTTGGGAACTTTGGACTTCGTAAGATCCCAGCAACGTGTCTCTGGCAGAGGAAGCCTTGGGCAAGGACCTAAGTACTTTCCTACATGTCCTCATCCCACAGGAGAGGCAAGGAAGGAGAGGGGCTCCTGGAATAGCCTCCTTACTTAGATGTGGTGTCCAGTCTCCTTTGTGAAAGTGGTCAAGAACGGCAGTGGAGGGTCGAGAGGAAGAGTGAAGGTCCCATGGAATCAATCCAAGTTTGTGGTCAATTGCACGAAGGGGTTGATGCTGCTGAGGTGTCCCCAAAACCCTGGTACAAGGGAAGGAGACTAAGTCCCCAGCAAACAGAGGAGGGGCTGCCTACAGAAATGACACCTTCCACACTGTGGGGCCAAGTATGTCAAAGAAGCTGAGGGGAGTTCCCAGGAAAAAGGTATGCTCTTAGGAATGGGGGTTCCACTTGAGAGGTCCCCATGCCCAGCAGTGATGGGCCATGTAGCACATATGGGATTGAGGAGGCTCAGGGAAATGAATCTGTGTCTGCTTAGTCTTCTCTCAGATGTTCTCATGTGGGGTGGGGTGGAAATTAAGCCACACACCTGTGGCTCACTACCTCTCAATGGGTGCTTCAGGGACCATAGTAACTTCTAGTGTAGACTGAGGGGGGTTCCTGATGAATAAATCATATTCCTGCTGCCCATCCAGACCAAAGAGCTCAATGACAACGTGAGGGAACCTAGGGTTTTCAGGCACAGGATGCTCAGAGCAGGTATCTACACCAGGCTACAGGCTGTGTACCTAGACCCCAGTGACATGTAAGGAGACCAACTGGGGAGGTCCATTCTAGAAGCCAGCAGCAAGTCTCAGAACAGTGAAGTGGCCCTTTCTTGTCCTCAGGTCCCAACCTAAGACTGTGGTCCAGCAGTTGTTGAGATGAATTGTCACAGCTAGGTAGTGAAAGGCGGAACAGCTGGCATGCATGCCTGCTCCACAGAACACAGAGGACAAGACTCAACGCAGTACAACTCTAGCCCATCTTGCCACAAGGCTGAAAGCTCCTCTGCATCCTGAAGAAGGGTCTGGCCATGCAGTCACCCTCAAAGGGCACCACATGTTTCTCAAAAGGGAGGTCTCAGGGGCTGGAGAGAAGGCTCAGAAGTAAAAAGTACTTGCCGCTCTTGCAGAGCACCCAGGTTTGGTTCCCAATATCCAGGTAGCAGCTCAAAATCATCTGTAACCCATCCCAGTTCCAGGGGATCTGATGCCCTCTTCTGGCCTCCACAAGCACCAGACAGAGTGCATGCAAGCAAAACATTCACACACATAAAATAAATAAATCTTAAAGAAAAGGGGATGTGGGGGGGGGGGTTCCCTATAACTGGGACTTCCATGGCCTAGCCACCCATAACCAAGGAAGATGGTACAAGGTCTGTGGTTAGCATGTGAAAAAAAATTATAGATAACTCTGTGGGCTTTCATAAACCTGTGAGGAGACTCTTCCTTTCTGGTGTGTCAATAAATTTCCATTCCTGCTACAGAGATTAATGGAGCAAAATTCCAGAGCAGGAATGGCTCGAGCCCTCTGTCCCCAAGTGGAGAGGCATATGTCACTTGGCTGGAAATGTTTTGGTCCCAGGGATGAGTCCTCAGCTCATCTGTGCTTGATGGTGCTACATACAGCTCATGGCCAAGTCCAATACTGAGATGGCCAGGGAAGAACCAACCAAATAGCCAGGATGGCCAGAGACAGGAATTCACAGTTCTTGTGCACTGAGCTTTTGATCTTCACTGGAGAAGAGGCATCCCAGAGCACTGCTTCAGGGCACTACAAAAAGTGGGGCCTCGGGAGGAGAAATATTAAAACTATGCGTCTGTAGTAAGAACTACAAGGGACAAGTGAGCAGCAGGTTTTTCCAACCATTTCCAGGCCACCTAGAGAAGGTGCCAGAATCTTGATGTTTTTCCTGTAAAATGTTGGGCTAAAGTTGGGCTTCTTTTAATACCATCTTACTCCCCGAGACTCATCAAAGGAAAATCACTGTCTTGTCATTTCCCGTCTGCCCTAGATCTTCCCTAGAATACTTGGTCTTAGGTTCAGAGAGAAGCCCTTGCTGCCTGTTCCAATTGTTGTCCATACCTGTGGTCTGATCCACAAGGACCCTGGAATTGATGATTCGCCCAAACCTAGAGAACATGTCCTCCACGTCTTTCTGGGTCATGGTCCTTGGGAGCCCGCTGATGTACAAGTTGGCATCTTTGATGACTTCTGAGCTTGGGCGAGCATATGATACCTTAAAAACAAAACCACTTCTCAAGATTAGGGTTGGTATATAGCAAAAATATCATAGGCAGACATCACAATTTGGTGTTAAGACAAGGCAATGCTGTGGCAAGAACTACACACAGGGCAATTTCATGATTGATGCTGGTGATCTGCAATGGCATTGTGCTGGCAGCTACCAGAGATCAGGCAGGGAGTGGAGACACTCTGCAGTGTCTAGATATTATTTCAAAGCCAAAAGACTGACGACCCACAGTAGTGGGTGACAGGACTAGGATCTAAGCCCAGGCTGCCTGCTGGGAACAGGACCTAGGTTCCTACCTCCAAGGAATTTGTGGTGTGACAGAGCTGGGAATCTCTTTGAGAGGCTGTAACAACCTTTGGCAACAAGTTAACGCCTCAGAAGCCCAGATGGGGCCCTGTAAGCATCATTCAAACACTCAATGTTAATGCTTGTGCAAGGGGAAGCTGAGCAGAGGCTCAGAGGCAACAGCAAGAAAAGGTGCTTTCTCAGGTGGAGGTGCTGGAGATGGTGCAGACCCTACACACAGACCAAGTGGGAGGAAAGGGTTAGGCTGCCCCTGATAAGACACAGCCAACAGGAGGCCTTTCTGCCTACAAAGGTAGCCTGGCTAGGTACAGAGGTAGGGGAATGAGCCAAGTGTTCTAGAAAAGGGGGAGGGGGGGAAAGACAGACACTCAGATCTATAGACAACATGTTCTAAGAGGCACAGAACTGTTGACCATAGATAAGTAACAACTAACCTTACAGGTAACACTAGACAGGAAGGTTGCTAAGGGGCACCAGAGCTGCTGAGGGGCTGGGGAGTAGAGTCTTTGAGGAAGCGGAGCTGTGGAAGCTCCCTGCAAACTTCTTGGTCTGCTCTCAGGCCTGAGCTACCTTAGTCTAGCCTGTGGTGCAGCTCTAGAGACACACAATCACTTCATGAACAGGTAGGGGTTGGCACATGTGTGGGACTGTTCGGCCTTGGTCTACAGCCTTCCCAGTATCTCTCTTCACAGAGGCCCAAAGTGACCTGGTCCAACACCAGCAGCCCTGCAGAACAGCCATTCTGCCAGGTACTTGCCACTTTACCAAAAGCCTTGGGGAAAACACTGAATTTTGGGCAGGACAGCTGAAAAAGGAAAGGGACCTCCCCATCTCTAGAGATACCAGCTATTTGGGGCCTCCCAAATCATGCTGGGCCAGCAGGGAGCTGCCAACACAAGACCACCCTTTCCTGACTAGGCTGTAGCAGGATCAGGTCTTGGCTTCTAACAAAGGACATGGGGGACGGGGGGAAGAACCACTGGGATTCCCAACTACGACCCAGTGGCACTAGTGGGGCAGGGCCCTGGTCTAGTGCTGTCTGTATTTTTCAGGCCCTGTATGAGGCCCCAGAAGAGAAACAGCTTCCAGTCAAATACTGGAGGAACTTTCACGCCACTGTCTTCAAGAGCCACGAGAATTCTGCCTCTTTTCTTCAGACACTGCCAAGTTCAAAGTCAAACTTGAGTCCAATGGGGCTGTACTAGAATGGATGGCACAAATTTTGTGCATGGACCCTCTTAAGTTCCCAGCAACATTTTTTCTTTGGAACTAACCCCCTCCTTTCCAGTCCTTTTCTTGTGAAATCTGTGAGGGGCTCAACTATTTGTTCCTTTGTCCAATTCAAATTCACATGGTTAGGCAACCTCATGTGACCTGGTTTGTAGACTGAGTTAAGATGAGGCACATATGTGAAGCTGGACCCTAGTCTAGTGTGATTGCATCCTTAAAGAAAGGAGAACTCTGGACCCAGGTGCATACATAAGGAGGATGCTAAAGAAAGACGCTGAAGAGACTGATGCTTCTATAACCCAAGGAATGGATTGCCAGCAACTGCTAGAAGCTGGGAGAGAGGCCTATGGCAGACCCTTTTGTAGGGCCTCTGGAAGGAATCAACTGTGCTGATCCCTTGAACTCAGACTTCCACCCTTTGGAGCTGTGAGATGGTTTCTATTCTTTGAGATACCCAGTCTGTGGTAATGTACCAGGGGAGCCCTAGCAAGCTTGTAACTTTCCTGACAATGTGGCAGGCACAGATCCGTATACATAACACACAGTCCCTCTGTCCCTATTTAGTTTGTTCCACTGCACTTATACTCTCACACACTGTAGTTTACAAGTTGAATGCTGGCATTTAGTAAACACCTGCTGAATTACTCTACAACAGTTATTGGCGATAATGCCATCTGGTGGTCATGGTAGTATATGCCTGTAATGAATCCTAGCAAGAGTATTTGAAAAATTAGCTTCTCATCCTACACTGAGACTCACTCTACAGGACTGTGGTGAGGACCCAGAGATGAAGTATGGAAGAGCCTGGCCCTACTTCATACATGTGAGCTATATGAATTACATGCCTTGGCAGGTCTATGGAGCTATACCTACGCCAGGTTCAGTCCATCTCTTCCAACAACTGCCCCCACTGTGGCTGCCAGGCTGGCACACACGCAAAATAATAGCTAGCGATGGAGGAGCAGAACCCATTACTCTGGGTTTGATCCTCAGCACTGCATAAACTGGGTGTAGTGGTGTACATTTATCATCCTGGCACTAGGAAGCAGAAACAGGAGGATCAAGAGCTCAGTGTTATCCTCAAGTTACACAGCAAGCTCAAGGGCAGCCTGGGTTATGTGAACTCGTCTCAAACAAAAAAATGTATGTGTGTGTATAGATTCTGCCCCAACAATTCATGGTTCCAGGGAGGGTTGAGACACTAAGTAACCAAGATCACAAGGCAGTTTAAGGACAGAGACTGAGGGAATAGAAGTCTATCCTGCAGGCTGAATGCATACAGCCTCCACCTAGCAGATAAGCCAACTTTCTTAGTAGATTGGTAAAAATAATCTTCCCAGGGTCACCCTGTAGAGTCACTTGGAAACGAGGCACAGTCAGGGTACCTGTGTATTCCAACTTTCCAGATGTTCCTAATGATCACATAAGCCCAGGAAGCACTGCCTTGATGCAAGGTCCCCAAAGGGACCCTCTACAGACTCACTCTGAACTAACAAGTGTGGAGTAACAAGGGAATTTATTTATTTTTTTGGCCTTGTTTGAGATAGGCTCTTCCTGTAGCCTGAGCTGGCCTGGAATTTGCTATGTAGACCAGGCTGGCCTTGAACTCACAAAGATCCACCTACTTCTGTCTCCTGGGTGCTGGGACTAAAGGCGTGTACCACCACGCCCAGTTTAACAAGGGAATTATACAAGTCAATCTTGCTCTTGTAATAAGGTGAACAAGAAAGATGATTCCCTCTGGTGAACATCTTGGCATCAAGAGGTAACAAGCCAGGTCTGTGGGTACCTTATGACAGATTGGTTATGAGGTAGGAGGCCCAGTGGTTGTCTAGTCATGACACAAATTCAGGCCATGAGGCAAAGGCCCATGGGAATGGGTGCTGCTGCCATCAGAGCTGGCAGACATACCTGGGATGAGGGACTGGTTAGGGACTGCAGGTTTAGAACACAGAGGCAGAGGAAGCCAGTCTGTGCAATCAGGAGGTCCTGCTGAGTGTCCCAGGAGGGCTGAGGCTCCAACAACAGAATGCTGCATGTTTGGTTCACTCATCTGCCACTCCATTCTGCCTGCCCATATCACAGGTGGCTTTCCAATTTAATTTTTGGTGTCTTGACACCTGGCCCCTTGGGCCCAAGGTCTTGTGAAGATGACGAATTTGCTTTGGTCACTGCCTGAACAGTGAGTTTAGAGAATAGGTGCTCAATAAACATATGCTCAATGGATGAACTGGAGAGAAAGGTTTTGGGTACCTGTGAAGAAGGAGGAAGGGAAAACTGGGCAGGGTTGGATAGTGTTGCTACTGCTAGAGCCAGGAGCTGCAGGGATGGGAACTTGGCGAGGCAGGAAGGGCTTGCAGGGGAGACTGCTTCAGTAAACATACTCTAGGGATGACTTGGGCTGGGAAGCAGTGAGGACTGACTTGATACACATTCCCTTCCTGCTTTATGGTGGGGCTGAGGAGGTTGTCAGGCCCACTGTGGTGGTCACCAAGTGTGTGCATACTCCGTCAGATGACCTGGAAATACCAGGCCTCAGCATGATCCCTACTCGGGACAGGAATGGATAAAGTGGGATCAAATCTCTTTACCTTAATGGTTTTGGACTGGAGCCTCAGACCATTCAGTGTGCTGATTGCTCTCTCTGCATCCTTTGCAGTCACATAGTTCACAAAGCCATAGCCCAAGCTGTGTCCTGTGTGGGAAAATATGACACTAGTAAACTGGCTGCCAGTGAGCAGGCAGGTGACAGGGTCAAAGGCAAAGTCAGAAAAAGAAAAGACATGGTTAACATACCAAAATGCCAAGAAAGGAGCCTCTTGGGAACAACAACAGACATGATGCCAAGCTTTCTTTTTTGGGCAAACTTGTAACATTTTTGCAATAAACAAAGGTAACTTGTAATTAAAAGTTACTTAGAAACTGGGCCACTGACATGGCTCAGCAAGGGCAGAAGTGGATTGCTGCCAAAGCTGAGGATCTGATTTCAGTTCTGGGGATTCGCATGGTGGAAGGAGAATCGACTCTTAGCAAGCTGTCCTGACCTTATGCTATATTGTGCACATATGCTAATGTATGCAGATACACACATACAAACACACACAAAATAAATAAGAGTAATGTGTTACTGCCTGCACCCTGCTGCCCACCAATCCCATAGGTGCTGGCCACACTGTGGGGCCCTGATGGGTGAGGATGAGGAGGGCCACAATAGGCCAGGCCAGTGAGCAGAGCCTGATGGATGATAGGCTGTCTGGTGGAATCCCTACTGTTTCTCTAACACCTGGATCCCCAGAACGAGAGGCTCACTGGGCTCTGGCACCACTTAGCACTGATTCCCTTTACTCTCCTGAGCCCAAGGCAAAGTGGGACTGAGCTGGGGGTCAGAGCTGAGAGAATCCCAAGTCTGCCAAGTGGCCCAGGTCATAGGTTCATAGACTTGGCCAAGCTTCCCAGGCTTCTTCTGGCTGTAACAATGCCAACCAGGATGGTAGGCATAGGGTCCTCCTGTGCTCATTGTGAAACACTCAGGACAGACAGAAACAACCACCTACTGGCTACCTGGAGAAGGATATGGCCTGGCAGGGAAGCCAAGAATACGAAGCTGCTGGAGTGGGAGTCAGGAGCCCCAGAGGACATCTAGCCATGGCCTCTCTCTGAAGGAAACCAGAGCTCCATCCACATCTTCCCAGCTTATGAAAACACCTGCAATGGTAAGCAGCACCTGCTTCATTCTATTCTGGGTACCTGAGAGAACAGTTGTGAGGCAGCCCCACAGACACAAGGAAGCAGCTGAGCTGGCTGCAATCAAAACCCTATTTGCTGGTAACAAGATGTGAACCAAGCAGGGAGCCTAATGCTTGCTTTCTCCACCCCCCCCTCCTTTTATTGGCACTTTTCAAATATCTTTATTTTAAAAATTATTGTAGTGCATTGTATGTGTATACACATATACATGCCAATAGCACGCTTGTGATCAGAAGACAGTTTGCAGGAGTTCTTTCCTTCCATCACTCGAGACCCAGGGATAGAACTAAGATAGCCAGGCTTGGTGGCAAGTGCCTACACCCATTGAGCCATCTCACCCACTCACAAATACTGTATTTTTTTGGATAGTTTTAGATTTACAGAAAAAGGATAGATTGAGTGTTCCCACCTTAGAGATGGCTCAGTGGTTAAGAGCACTGACTGATCTTGCAGAGCACCTGGTTTCAGTTCCCAGCACTCATATGGTAGATAACTGTCAGGAACTCCAGCTCCAGGCGATCTGATGCCCTCTTCTGACCACTGAAGGTACTGCACAACATGGGTGCACTTACATACATGCACTCATACAGACAAAATAAAAATAATAAAATTTTAAAAAAAAGAGAGAGTTCTCCCCTTGCTCTGAGCATCCCCTATTAGAAACTATACAGTTTGGCATGTTTGCTATAGTAACTGAGCTTAAGATGGTTCACTATTAACTAAACATCCCCTTGATTCCTCTGCCCTTAGTTTTTCCCCTTCAAGGCCTTTTTCTGCCCAGGACCTCACACTACCTTTAGTGTCATTCTCCTCAGGCATCTCTGGGTGTGATGTCACGTCAAACTATCCTTGCTTTTGATCACAATTTGGAAGCCTTGTGGTATTTCCTGCATTGTTCCCTATTTTGGTCTGTCTGGTATTTTTCTGTGTTTACTGTGGTGATGGATTTAGGGGAGGAAGGCCACAGAAATGAAGTGCCCTTCCCATCACAACCTTTCAAGGGTCAGGGATATCTACTCCAAAGAAGGCTTTATCACACTACCGACTGACCCAGATCGCCTGGCTAGGGCAGTCTGTCAGGTGTCATATTCTCACCACCCCTTTGCACACCATGACAGCTGACACTGCAGGAGCAGACTTACATTCGTCCCTTTGTACGTACCATTCTCTCTCTCCCTCCCTAAATCTACTCCTCTAGATCCACGTTTCTTTTCTTTTTTTAAATTGTACATGTGCACATGCAAGTGCATGCGAACATATGGAGGCCAGAGTTTGATGTTGGGCATTTTCCTCAATTGCTAATTTAACTTTTTAAGAAAGTGTTTGAGAATGTCATACATGCATATAATGTGTTTTGATCAAATCCACTTCCATTCCCTCTCCTTCAACTCCTCCTCTATCCTCTCTCCTTCCAACTCTACCTGTGAACGTGCATGAGCCGAAGCCTGCCCATATCACCAAGGAAGTCACCAAGGAAATCAGAGGCAGGCAGCAATGAACCAAAGTGTTAGCTGAGCACTATTGGCTTTAGGCCTTGTGCCAGGCTGGGGGGATTGACAATGTTCTCCACAGAGGTCAGGTACTGCAGTAATCAAAGTCATCACATACCTGAGGGCAAGTCAGACAACAAACCTTAGAGAAACTAAAGAGCCAAACCTCTGTAGAAGTGCTCCCAGGATGGCCTCTCTTGTGCTAGGAGGGGCTGATTGGCTGGGCTGCATCGGGTCAGTCACAGGTGGTAAAAGTGATCTTGAATCAACATCTTAGCATCACTGGGATCAAGCAGCCCAGACAGGAGAGAGAGTGCTAAGTGTCAGAAGTGGAGGCAACTTGGGTGTTTCTGGAATGAGGGGTAGCCACTGAGGCTGAGCAAACTCATCTATGGGAGGTCTGGGAGGGAGTCACTGTGTGGAGAGTAAATAGCAGTCAAGCAGAAGCTGAGACAGAACCCAAGGGGCCTGTGAGCCAGTCCAGATGTGGGACAAGGGCAATATGCATGGGGGAGGGGCAGTGGGTCTTCAGAGTGTTATGATGAGAGCAGTACCAGAAGGACCTAGAGAGGGTTGGGCCTTCTGCAGTCCTGCCCAAGGAGACACAGAGGAGCCCTGGTGTGGACAGTTAGCATTCCCAGTAGGCAGCTGGTAGGAGGTCTCGAGAGGAGGGGAGGTGGTCCCCCAGGAGCAGGACAGGAAGACTGTGCACCCCTGCCCCTAATCTCTTTTCAGCCCGGGACTCAAGATTCTAGTAGGCCAGCAGGCTTGAGTCCCCGTTTCTCAGCTCCTTCCTGCTGTTTCTGTTGACTAGAGCCAAGAGCCTGACAGTTGTGTCTCCTTTTGGAGAGATGGGAAATCAGCCTGAGAAAGGCCAGAGGGCTGAGGAGCAGCTTGATTAGTATCAAGCTAGGCTAAGTGTGGCTTCTACATAGGCTGTTGGGGGCTTGGGCAGTGGGGTCTGCCTAGAGTCTGGACCAGGAGGTGGCCAAGGCTCTGCAGACAGGAGATACTGGTAGAGAAGGCAGGGAGGAAAGGGAAGAGGGAAATAGGTAAGGTGGATAAAAACTGGACAAACCATGGCTCTGAGGTCTGAGGATGTCCCAGAAACTGATGAACCCCCCTTCTTAATTCTCAACTGTAGGGACACAATTCTACCACCTGTTTCTCACTGGCCCTGCACTATTGTCATCCTCCAAGAAGTTAAAACACAGATAGTCCAGCACCCCATAGTAGTTGATTTAATGTGCCTGGGTGGGGCTCCAGACCTGCTCTTCTCTAAGCCAGAGTCTCTGTATGAAGCACCATTTATTCCACACTGTTAAGTATCCCCTGCTAAACTCTTGCCAGTAGCCTTGCATTTCCAAGCATATTTCTCTTTCAGACAAGGGTTAAGGCTGGGCAGATATCTCAGCATTTTGCCTTGCCCTACCCTTGGTGCTTCTAGGAACTGGGAGTCATGAGTCAACCTAGGTTGTTGGAGAGGTTGCCTCTCCTAGGCAAAGGAAAGGAGTACCTACAGTGTCAAGGTGGATACTGAAAGTGTTGTCTTTAAAGGTCTACCCACAGTGGCTCCAAAGAAAGCTTCATTGAAAGACACTGGGTCTAAGTGAGAGGAGGGAATAAATCAGACAGCAAGAAAAAGTAAAAGGCCCAAATGAAAGATAATGGGCCAAAGACAAGAAGAGTATTTTCGAAAAGAAGAAACAAAGTCAGCAAATAGATGAAGATGTTGATGAATTTCACTAGAAATGTGGGTCAGTGCCATTGATGGAATGCCATTTGCTGTGTATCAGCTGGCAGAAGAGAAATCCAGCTAGGCCCAGGAGATGAATGGAAAGGCTTGGTGGAAGTGAGGGTGAGCTGGCAACAGGAACCATGGAGTTCTTAGAAAGAACACTCCCATCTGCTGATTTAGTACTTCTAGGAAGACTGTATGGAAGAGAGTGAGCAGAGAGTCAAGATAGTCATCTCTGTGGGGCTTACAATATTGTTTAAAGCAGAGTAGCACAAAACCACTGCAATGATGTGACAACACAATGTCCGGGGGCAAAGAACAAGTTCAGGTATATCAAGAAAAACTCACTAACCTTTCCTATGAAATACAGGATTGTTTATGGTGAATATTTGGCAAAGAGGGCATGTAAGGAAATGATATTCAGTGGCAACACTGGTGGTACTATGGGTGATTTAAGCTTTACTTCCTGCTTGTCTCATGTTTAGATTTTTTTTGAGACAGGGTCTCACTATGTAGCCCTGGATGGCCTAAAACTCACTATGTTGCCCTGGCTTGTCTCACAGAGACCAGAGATTCACCTGCCTCTGCCTCCCAGGCACTGGGATTTAAGGCATCCACTACTACATGTGGCTAGACTTTGCCCCCCATGAGTAGCAAAGATAACTCATGTCAAGGAAAAATAGTAGAGCTGGCAAAGTTGGAAGGGTGTTCCTGCAGAAGAAAAGTGTTCAAGAGTGTAGAGAGCGGAGAGTCGGGCACGCTTAAGAAATGGTAAGCAGCTAAGTCCAGGCTGGGGTGGGGGTGGGGTACAGCAGGATGAAGGGTGTGGACTCTACCATAACCAGAGATGAAAGACAGAGTGAAAGGGCTGTAGGCTGACAACCACAAGGGCTGAGGAGGGAAGACTCCTGAACGGGTCATCCAGGACCACTGTAGGGGTGCACAGTAAGCTAAGTAAGAAGCACCAGGTAACACTATGTTTAAGTCTTGTAGCTAGTGTTTCTACAACAAATGTAATGCTCCTAATAAGGGGACTTGCACCCAGCTGACCAGAAACATTTGGAGCCTCTCACCAACTCAGTGACATTCTCTTCATCTCTGACACCATGTCCCTTTCCTACTGTCACTAGTGCCCAGATTGTACATGGCTGATCTACAATACACATTTATAGCGTGAATATATCAGCTGAGAAAGTTCCAGCCTTGGAGCATCTGTCAGTGACTAGATGGAGCCTTGAAAGGTATCTGCAAAGAAACACAATCAGAACCTGAAGGATTTTAGAGGAGGTAGTGACAGGGTCACATGGGGGATGATGAAGAGGTCATTTTTACTATACTGAGGAAGTATGGAAGAAGAAAGGCTTGGGTGGCTAGTTAAGAGGTCAAACAAAGGCAATGGTGTCCTGGGCTAGAATGATTCTTGCATGAGGCAGGATAAGCATTGACTAAAGGCTCATCCCTTGGTAAAGGGATAGATACTGAGCTGTGGGTACTTCTGAGAGGAACTGCTGTGTAGACAGACACAACAACACAAGACCAGTCTGAGATACAGTGACTGTGGTACAGGAGGGCCTGGGATTCAGGAGTTTTCTGGTTGGGAGAGGTGGCAAACTGCAGAGACACTGAAAACACTAGGTGAATCCTCTGACTCCCAGTGTCAACTCTGGAAAATGAAGAAGGGCCATGGAATAACGCCAAGTTTAAGGCTGGGACAAGAAGGAACTCCAAGAGACAGAATGTTGCCTTGAGGGTAGATAGCCAGCCAGGGGAAGAGGATGCTTTTAGAAGGAATTACAGACAGCGAGTTTGACAGTCTGTACATAAGAGGACAACACAGTCATGGTTCTCATCCTACAGAGGTTCTACATCCCTCAAAACTTGGAGCAATGTCTGTGGACATATTTTAATGTTCACAACTTGGAAGGTGCTACCAGTTTCAAGTGGGTGGAGGTGAGGGCTGCTGTTCAACACCCACCAGGGAATAACTAGACTCCAGGAAGCACCATCCAGCCCCAAATGTCAGCAGTGCCAGAGGAAGTCAGGGAGCTTAGCAAGGACTCTGGATCCCTCGTGTGGCAGGTCTGAAGAGACCTACGGAAAAGCGTGTGCTTTGATAGCTCACGGGTACCAGTATTACCAACAGTCCAGAGAAAAGAGAAGCCATATCTGGGACCTCAACACTGACTCCAGGACTTCCTAAAAACAGTTCTCTCAGGACGGACCTCCTAGGTGCTTATACCAACATAGCTCACATTCCTCTGAAACTCACAATGGGGACAGAGAAAAGAACTCAGGGCATGAGAAATAAGAACCAGACTCCGATGCCCTGGAGTTTTGAAGGAGTTGAGTCTACTCTCCCATCAAAACAAAAGTAGAGAAACCATCCAGAAGCCCTTTGGACAGGACTCCTGAATATTCTAGCATTATTCGATCTGGGTCTTATCTAAGTTTTCTTTCTAGAAGGTGTTAAACCACAGACTTGGGACTGGAAGAGGTTTTTCAGTTTAAGGCCCTAGTCTGATAAGTGAGTTCTCTGGACAGTCATCAGACAAGCTGTTTGAGGTCATCCAGGGGTCAGTATATTTAAGTTACTGGGAAAATGTTGAAAGTTGACAGGATACACCAGACTGAATATAATACTTTGTTCCTATATACCTGACATTTTTCATAATACAAAAAAGAATGTTTCAAGAAATTAGTTTCTATGATAAAGAACCAAGGTACCTACAAACCAGAGGATAGCTGGAATGTCCTGAATGTACTTATTCCCTAGCCTGCCAAAGTGGAGCAGAGAGGAAAGGGGAGGGAGTGAGTCCTGAGGACAACGTTCTATCAGAGAAGGAAAAGAATAGCAGCAGGGTTTGGAAGCAGAGTTCCTGAAGCCACACTCTCAGAACTGAGAAAGCAGGGCCTTAACAGGAATCTGGCTTTCTACATACACGTACACAGTTGACACAGTCAGGACGTAAGGTACTAGTAGTTGCTTCACTCATGGGGAGCCTGGAGGCCCGGGAGTCACCCTGTGAGGGAGTTGAAGAGCAAGGCTTTCTTTTAGCTGTTCTGTTCCTGACCCCAGATTTCAAGCTGATGGAACAATGAAGGTAGTGGATGGCTAATCTGTACATGGGGGGCTACATTAACAGGGACAGACCTGTCAGTGCCTGGTCCAGCAGGGTCCCCACACATGGAACCAGGTAAACCTCTGCAGACCTTCCTTGACCTCATGTGACTTTTAAAACACTCCCTATTTCTGGTGGCCCCTCATTTTCCTCTCCTCTGGCATGTCTTATTTTGTGCATATGTTTTGTGTTACAAAGGCTGCTCTTCTGGGGCTGGAGAGATGGTTCAGCAGTTTAGAGCACTGGCTGCTCTTGTAGAAGACCCAGGTTCGAATCCTAGCACTCATATGGAGGCTTACAACTGTCCATAACTCCAGTTCCAATGGGTCTTCTGATCTCCTTAGGCACTGTACCACACAGCTGCACTTACATACACACAGACATAACACTCATACACATAAAATAAAAATAAACCAATTAAAAAAAGAGAATTGCTCTTCACTGGGGAATTTTTGTCCAACTTTTTTCTTTTTAAATTTTATTTATTTATGTGTATGAGTGTTTTGCCTGCATATACATAAGTGTACCCTGTCATGTAATGCCTCAAGAGGCCAGAAGGTGTTGAGTCCCCTGGCATTCCAAGTTACAGATGTTTGTGAGCCTCCGTGTAGATGCTGGAACCAAACCTAGGTCCTCTGAATGAGCAGCCACAGTTTGTAACAGCTGAGCTATCTCTCTAGCCATCCCGCTTTAAAAGATTTTATTTTAAATTATGTATATTTGTGTGCCTGTATGAGCGTACAATGTGTGTGAGCGTACAATACACATGGAGGTCAGAAAAGTATGTCAGATCCCCCGGAGTTCAAGTTACAGGTGGTTGTGAGCCACCTGATGTGGGTGCTGAAAACTGAACTTGGGTCCTCTATAGGAGAGCACATGTTCTTACCTACATTCTCCAGCCCCACTACATCTAATCTTATACTAGAGCAGTTTGAGATAAAAAAAGAAACTTCCCAGTCTGGGCTATTCTGCACTAGGGAACATGAGTCACCAGCAGAAAAGACAGTGCTTAGTAGCACAGCCAGCAGGACCCTATCCAGAAACTTCTCAGGCTCTTTACCTGCTACTTTATCCCGAATAAGTTTTGCAGATTCAACCTCGCCAATGCTGCTGAACAAACTTCGTAGTTCCTCCTGGGTCATGTTCTGTGGGAGGTAGTTGACAATTAGATTCGTTCTCCCAATGTCATCCCTGCAGTCTTCAGCCATGTGGTCTTCATAACCATTAGACATCGTATTATTAAAAAATCTGCGATGAAAAACAAGATCAGGTGAATTACAAATATGCATCCTGGTGTATATGAAGGCAAAGATAACTACATTTGCACTTAAGGGATTTTCTTATCTGCACTTAAAAAAAAAAAAAAAAAAAATCAACTATGGAGCCAAGGAGAAGGTTCAGTTGGTAAAGTGCCTGTCAGCAAAAGCATGAGGATCCAAATTCTTATCCCTAGCATCTAGGCAAAAGCTGGACTCCATGGTACACTTCTATAATCCCAGCATGGAGGTTTGGGACACAAAGGAACCCCTGGTACTCATCAACCAGCTTGCCTATCTAAATAGGCTCAGGTTCAGTGAGACACTCTGTTTCAAAAAATAAGGGGCAGAGTAAAATAGGAAGACACCCAATATCAACCTCTGGCATACACATGCATGCACGCCCACACTCACACATGCATATTCCCTCCCATATGAATATACACATCACAACCACCCATACCTACAGAAAAAGACTAACTATAGCTACAGATAGCTGCTTTGATAATTGCCCAAACATGGAAATAACCAATTGTCCTGCAGGGAATGAATGGATAAACTCAGTTACTATGGTACATCTCCAAAATGGAGCATTATTCAGTACCTAAAAAGAAATAAACCATTAAGCGACAAAAAGACAAGGAACTTTAACCAGGGAAGTTGAGTTGTTTTACCACTGAACTATGTCCCCAGGCTTGATTTTTCTTTTATCTGATGCCAGAGACTTAACTCAGGGTTTTATGTTTGCTAGGCAAGCACTACCACTGAGCAAAATCCCCACTGCCCCCCAGCCCTAATTTCTCTATTAAAAACAACCAACAAAATTTTTTTTTGCAGGCTGTGGGGGTCAAACCTAAGGCTTTGAGCACACTAGTCAAGCACTCTACCACTAAGCTACACTGCCAGACCAGACAACAGAAACTTTAAATTCATACTATTTATTAAGTGAAAGACAGCAACAACAAAAAAACACTTTGAAACACCGTACTGTATAATTCCAATTGTATGACCTACTGGCAAAAGGTAAAACTACAGTGGTGGTGCACGCCTTTAATCCCAGCACTCGGGAGGCAGAGGCAGGCGGATCTCTGTGAGTTCAAGGCCAGCCTGGTCTACATAGTGAGTTTCAGGACAGCTGGGGCTACAGGGAGACCCTGTCTCAAAAAGACCGAAAAAAAAAAACACACCCCACTACAGATATAGTAAAAATGGTTGCCAGGACAGCAGGTGGGAAGGAACAAACAGGGAGATCATGGGATTTTTTTAGGAGAACAAAGTAGTTCTCTATGGACCTGGGAATGGTGGCACAGGTCTATCTATAATCCTTGCACTCTACAGATTATGACAGAAGGACTAGAATGTCTAGTTATGATTGAGGATGTGGCTCAGCTTGTAGAGTGCCTGCCCAGCATGCACAGAGCCCTGGGTTGAATTCCCAGAACCACATAAACCAGGCATGGTGGTCATGCTCTAATCCCAACACTTGTGAAGCTAGAAGCACAAGGTCATTCTCAGCTATGTATCAAGTCGGAAGCCAGCACGGGATCAAAGAGACCCTACTCAAAAATAAATAATAAATAAATAAATAAATAGTTCAAGCTCAGCCTGGGCTACATAGTGAGACTATCTCAAAAAACTAGAAGAGATTCTTGTAATAGTCTAACAAAAGATACAAATACTTCTCAAAGCTCACAGAATATACAACACAGAATGTATACCATGAACCCTAATCCTTAATGTGAATTACAGGCCTCAGTTATTAAATAATATGCTGATACTGTTTCATCCATTGTGACAAATGTATCCAACTAATGTAAGATGTGGATAACAAGAAAATGGTTGTTGAGGGAACTTACTAATTTTTTATATTTTAAATTACACTTATTTTGTGCAAATATGCACATGTGAAGATCATAAGACTACTTGCGGAAGTCATTTCTCCCCTCCCCTTCTTTTGAACTGGATCATCAGGCTTGGTGGCAATCACCTTTACCCACCAAGCCATCTCACTAACCCCTCTCTATTTTATAATTTTTTTCTGTAAAACTAAAACTGCTCCACAAAACACAAATCTATTAACACAAAAGAGAACAATTCTAAGTTGAACCATTACCACGGACAGGGCTTTTTTGTTTTTTATTTTTTAAATATATTTATTATTTTTATTTTATGTGTATGAGTGTATTGCCTGCATGTATATAAGTGCATCCATGTCAAGCAATGCCCTTGGAGGTCAGAAGAAGGTGTCAGAGTTCCTGGAACTGGAATCCAACCAGTGTCCTCTGCAAGAGCAACCAGTGCTCTTAACTGCTGAGTTCTCTCTCCAGCCCTGCTTTGCTTTTTAAACACAATCTCTTTTAACCAGGCTGGCCTGGAACTAACTATGCAGGCCAGAGTGGCTTCAAACTTGTGACAATCCTCCTGCCTCAGCCTCCTAAATGTGATTATAGATGTGAACCTCCACATGTGAATGACTGTTTTTTGAGACAAGAGTCTCATGTAGCCCAGGCTGGCTGCTAATTCACTGGGCAGCTGAGACTGGTCTTGAACTTCTGCTCCTCCTGCCTCCATCTCTGGAATGCTGGAATTACAGGTATGCCACACTGACTGGTTCAACAGGACCTTTGAAGAGGTCTGGGGATGCAGCTCACTAGTAGAATATTCACAAGACCCTGGGGTCCATCCCTGGTGGGTAAGCACATGCTCATGTGCATACACAAACATTGCTTTAAAGAAATCCACACATAATCCCAGTACAATAGCTGAAGCTCCCATAAGAAAGTTTGTGTAACTCAACAGCTTTCCAAAGACTTCTGACTTCTTTTTCCAATGCCTATTGCTGATTACAGGCTAGATGCCAGGAGCCTGTAATGTGCACCTTCGAAGCCCCACTTTGGACACCTGTCTGTGATGGCAACAGTTATGCGTGCCCTTTTTATTGCCAAAGACAGTGACGGAGCCAGAAAGAAGCAAGGATTTCGTTCTTAGTGGAGGGAGTTTGGTTTTCATTGATGCAGGCTCTGCAAAGTCCAGAGCTCAGGATGGCATGGCAACAGTGTCTGTATTGATACAGCTGAGAGGGTACCAATATTGTTCTTTTAAACTCACAGACCACACTTGGTTTGCTCATAGGCATTGCTGCTGTCCAGTTTCCTAACCTAAGAGGTCGGGTGCCCCTGCTTCTAAATTCTCAGACAGCAAGCCAAGCATGGTGGTACATGTCTTTAGTCCCAGCACTTGGGAGGCAGAGGCAGGCAGATCTCCATGAGATTGAGGCCAATCTGGTTTCCATAGTGAGTTCCAGGCTGGTTGGGGCAGCAGGGAGACCCTGTCTCAAAAACAAAACAAAACAAAAAAACTCAAGCAGCAGTGCACTTGCCTGGAGGGCTCAGTGGATAGTCAACTCTCCTCCAGAGGGGCAGCTCTGTATTAATTTTGGGTTTTTAACCCAATGCCCATGATCATAAATCTTGAACCTTCTTTAAAAATAGCTGGGCATGGTGGCGCACGTCTTTGATCCCAGCACTTTGGAGGCAGAGGCAGGCGGATCTGTGAGTTCAAGGCCAGCCTGGTCTACATAGTGAGTTCCAGGACAGCTGGGGCTACAGGGAGACCCTGTCTCAAAAAGACAAAAATAAAAAAGCTTTACAAGGGCCGCAGAGATGGCTGAGCAGTTAAGAGCAATGGCTCCTCTTGTAGAAGACCTGGGTTCAGTTCATAGCACCTACATGGAGATTAACATCTACTACGCCTTTTCCAAAGGAACCAAGGCCCTCTTCTGGCCTCTGTAGGTATTGCACAACATGGGCACATTTACATGCATGCAAATAAAACACATACACATAAAATAAAAATTATTTTTAAAAACTAGGGGCTGGAGAGATGACTCAGCGATTACAAGCACTGGCTGCTCTTGCAGAGGCCCTGGATTGAATTCCTAGCACCTACATGGTGGCTAACAACCATCAGCAACTCCAGTTCCAGGGGGAATCCAATGGCCTCTTCTGACCTCCATGGGCACTGTTAAGTCACAGATGCACTTATACACATGCAGGCAATACACTCATATACATAAAATAAAAAATAAAGTTTTTACAGAAGTTGGTTGTGGTGACACACACCTGCAATCTCAGCACTCTGGAGGTGGAAGCAGAAGGATCAGGAATTCAAGGCTATCCTTAGCTACATAGCAAGTGCAAGATCAATGTGGGCTATATTTAGACCCTGACTCAAAAAAAAAAAAAAAAAGAAAGAAAGAAAGAAAGAAAGAAAACCTTTTTGATGGCTGGGAATACAGCACAGCAGCAGAGTACTTGCCTAGCATGCAGGAGGCCCTAGGTTTCATCCCTAGCATCAAAAACAAAACAAACATGCCTGGCACACAAGAGATTTCCCTCCTATTGCTTAAACCACTGCTAGCAAGAATTAGGCCTGGTTCCCTGTGGAGCTGCTCAGGTTCCTAACCTTCTTAAAATATTTTATTTATTATTATTTTTTTTATGTGTATGAGTGTATTGCCTGCATGTATGTAAATGCACCCATGTGGTGCAATGGTTGTGGGTGTCAGAAGAGGGTGTTGCATCACCTGAACTGGAGTTACAGACGATTGTTAACTGCCATGTGGGTGCTGGGAACTGAACCCATGTCCTCTGCAAGAGCAGTTAATGCTTATAACCATCTGTCAGGTTCCTAACCTTCTAACTCTCAAACAGGAAAACAGGAAAATTCCCCAGCACTTACTACTTACAGGTACCTTCCTCTTTACATAGTACATTAGCATTGAAAAGGAGAAGGCTAGAAAGTTAACTACCATATTATTAAAAGCTATATGGCAAAAAAGCATCAGAAACAAAGAAAAAGACAAAGAGCAACTGAGAGAAATATCTGGTATGTACCATTTAGATCAGTGCCTGTCATGCTGGTGTGTGCTACTGGCATCTAGTGGGCAGAGCCTCAGGATGCTGTTAATTAAATAGTCTGCAAGGCACAGGA